GTCCATATAGTTCAGTCGCTCAGAGCTGGAGAAAGGTTTTGCACTAATAACGCTGCCTGATGACACAGACCGTTTCAGAGCAGCCTCTTTGCTATTTATAACTCGTAAGTGGCTGGTTGAGTCCCACGTGGTCTCCTGCGCTACTGACATCGGGAGCTTACATCCCTGGCGCCAGCCGACGAAGAACCCAGCGCTGGAGAGCTGCTGCCCAAAGAGAAAGCGCTCAGGTGAGCTAAATAAATGCTAAATAACTGGGTGACTCCTCCCACACACTGGGGGAGGGACCCAGACTTTCAGCTCCAGAGGCCACATATACACCTGCAACCTGGTCTCCATTTATGATCCACCAAGACCTCCTCCCGCTGGGATCAACCAATTCAGAAACCCCCGAGGCTGGAGACAAAACATTCCAGACTGAGGAGGGGCGTCTGGAGATCAGGTAACTGGGGAAGCTGACCTCTCCAGAGCGCACTGAAAGACTCGCTCCTCTTCGATAAACCTTTCCCACAATGACCCGTTTGCTAGGGGGAAGGAGAGAGGAGCGGATGGCAGGAAGGAATTGAAAACAAACGACAGAGGTATCAGAACCGCCAGACAGGGTCAGACCAGAGATCCAGCCAGCCCGGTCCTGTCTGCACACAGTGGCCAATGCCACATGCCACCAGAGGGAGTGAAGAGAACAGGGAATCATCGGGTGATCCATCCCCTGTCACCCATTCCCAGTCCCTGACAAGCAGAGGCCAGGGACATCATCCCTGCCCATCCTGGCTAACAGCCATCGATGGACCTAACCTAGTTCTTCTTAGTCTAGTTCTTTTGTGAACCCTGTTCTACTCTTGGCCTTCACACTGTGGTGGCATGTGGGGCACCCCCCGATCCTGCACCCCGTCTGCAGCAAGATGAGACTGCCAGCCAGTAGAACAGAGGGTTTATTGCTTCTCCAGGATACAGCACAGGCGTGGCGTGGACATAAGGAGTCAGGGGCTGGCAGCCCTAGACCCCTTTGGGAGGGGTCCACAGGCCCCTGAACCCTCAGTACTCAGCTTAGTCTGTTCTCTTCATGTTTTCCCAGCCAAAAACTGCCTCTCCCAAAAATCACCCAACACACCCAGGTAGCCACACCCCTTCCTTTGTTCAGGTGAGAAGCCCCAGCCGGCCACTGTCTAAGTGCTGGAGCTCAGGGGTGACCCCCGCTGGGCAGTACTTACAGACACAGGCCAGTGGGGTTCACCCACAACCCAAGCATAGTGACCAGCGAGTGGACAGCACCCACTACATCACAACAACATCCTCTGGCAAGGAGTTCCACGGGTTGACAGTAGGTTGTATGAAGAAAAACTTCCTTGTGTTTGTTTTAAACCTGCTCCCTATTCATTTCTTTGGGTGTCCCCTAGTTATATCAGGAAAGAGAGAGGAGAAGACAAATGCAGAAGTTCCAAACTGCCATGTGCCGGACGCAACAGCAGCTGTAAAGTCTCAAATGGCAACGTTTCAATTATCCATGCAAGAAACCAAAGAGCCCACAATTTAGGTGTCCCATCTCACATACCAAATATCTGGGACATGAAGGTTGGGACTAACACAGACGGGCAACTTTGTCCGGACAAATGGCTTGACAGACAATTGCAATTACTGAACAAGTTGGGGAAAGAACCTCGTCAGTTCATGGAAAGTCTTGTAAACAGGGAAAAAAAAATCCAGATTCACTAAGGACCTTGCATCTGATGAACCATTTGTCTAGCTCTAATCCGGCTCATTACGTATCAGAGCCTCTGGAACCGACCCAAGACAAGACTTCCTTTTAAATTCTGCCTAATGGATGGGGGGAAATGAAGGGAAGGCTGCCCAGCCGGTATTGGATTGTGCCAAGCGGAACCAGGGCTGCGCGGGAGTAGAAACGGATCATTACGGCATTAATCAAATGGGCACTGTAAGATGACAGCAGCGAAACACAAATAGCCTGATGCTGGGATTCTGCCTTTCCTTGTCAGCACAATGAAATCTACTTTCCTAAGCACTCCTGCAATTTCAGCTTAGAAAAGAGGAGACTCGGGGGGGATAGGATAGAGGTCTATAAAATCATGACCGGTGTGGAGAAAGTGAATAAGGAAAAGTGATTGACTTGTTCCCATAATACAAGAATTAGGGATCACCAAATGAAATTAATAGGTTTAAAACAAACAAAAGACAATTTTTTCTTCACTCAGTGCACAGTCAACCTGTGGAACTCCTTGCCAGAGGATAGTGTGAAGAACCAGGACTTTAACAGGGTTCAAAAAAGAGCTACATAAATTCATGGAGGATAGGTCCATCGATACTTCTTAGCCGGGATAGGTAGGGATGGGGAACCCAGTGTCTATTTGTCAGAGGCTGGTGACAGGGGAGGGATCACTGGATGATTCCCTGTTCTGTTCACTCCCTCTGGGGCATCTGTTACCGGCAGACAGGACAGGTCTGACCCAGTCTGGCTGCTCTGATGTTCTTAAGGATTCACCTGGTGGGTCTGTTCTAGCTCCTCGAATACAGCCCAGCCTTCAGCTGCATCGCAGTAAAACGAGTCACCGTGGAAGGATCGAATTTTCTAGCATAAGAAATGAAACTTTTCCCTGTCAAAACCACCCGGAATACGGAACAAGTCCCTGGCCCAGCCCGCCGCACTGGCCTGCAGAGACGACCGCAGGCTGCAGAGAGGCCAATGGCCGGGAGAATCCCCACGCTGCCTTTGCGCCGAAGTGTGATTGAACTTTTCAGCAGCAGTAATGAGTGGTTGGCTGCCGGGCCCATTGCCTGCTGCTCACCGGAGAGCGCAGACGCCTGGGCCCGGGGCTCCCATCCATCATGAGGAACGGCAGAGCAGCCGGGCCTGGCAAAGGGGGCTGGGTGTTGACAGAGCAGGGAGCGGAGCCGCATGGACATAGCAGGGAGCGGGCTGGGGATTTTCCACAGAGCCCCGGCTCAGGCCACCCCGCCTGCCTCTTCTGTATGGCTCAGAGCTGCCCCCGGCGGCCATCCCTGGCCCCGCATTGTGGGGTGCACCCCCCGGCCGCCTGAACCATCCTATGGACAGGGCCCAGGCCGGCCTGGGGGCTTGCCTGGGGGCCCGGTGCAGGGGAGCAGGAGGGGTCGGCCCCCCACAGTCACCATGGCAACGGGAGCTCGAGTGACCAGGCCCAGCCCGCTCTGCTCCCCTGAGCAATGCAGGATACAGGGGAGCTGAGCCGAAGGGGGGGCACCGGGATGGGAGATGAGTGGCGGAGCGGAGCAGAGAAAGCTTGGATCATACGAAATGAAAAGTGTCCACTGCAAAAACACCCGGCCATCTAACTGTGGATAGTTTTGTACCTGCCCAGGCCACGTGCTAAACAACACTTACCTTACCATAAGTGAGCCAGGATAAGCATTATACATGTTAGCATGCTCACCCAGCACACAAAACAAATACCATGCACCCAACTTTTAATGTGGCCTGTCATGATGTAGTGTCAGTACCTTTCTGGTTGCTGGGGGAAAAAAAGACAGGACACTGTAGCACCTTAAAGACTAACACGATGGTTTATTATGTGATGAGCTTTCGTGGGCCAGACCCACTTCCTCAGATCAAATTGTGGAAGAAAATTGGCATGATCATATACAGTATACCAAAGGGATACAATCAAAAAGTGAACACATTTAAAATAGACAAATCAGATTTTAGAACAGGGGGGGGATGAGGTGGGAGGTTAATGTCTATGAGGTAAACACTGCTTTAAAAAATAAGGCAGTCACACAATTACAAAATTAATCACACAGCTTTAAATCACAATCAGTTTTTATCAAAGAAATAGAAAACCATTTATTTAAATATTGTTTTCTACATTTTCAAATATTTTTATTTCAGTTACCTTATAGAATACTTTGCAAACTTTATATTTATTTTGGCTACAAATATTTGCATTGTACAAAACAAGAGAAATAATATTTTTTCAATTCCCCTCTAACAAGTACTGTAGTGCAATCTCTTTGCCAGACTAACATGGCTACCTCTCTGTGCTTGGGCTGTGGATAAAAGCTCATCACCTAATAAACCATCTTGTTAGTCTTTAAGGTGCTGCAGTGTCCTTTTTTTTTTTCCCCCAGCAAGACCAGACTAACATGGCTACCTCTCTGTGCTTGGGCTGTGGATGACCCCAAGGGTGTGTCTAGACTACAGGGTTTTGTCGACAAAAGTGGACTTTTGTCGACAAAACTATACCTGCGTCCACACTGCCTTCGAGTTATGTCGACATAACGTTGACAAAACTCAGCAGTTTTGTCGACGTATGTAAACCTCATTCTACGAGGAATAACGCCTTTTATCGACAGAGTTCTCTCGACAGAAGGCGTTATTCCATCTACACTGTCCTTTGCGTCCACGCTGTTATGTCGACAAAGCGGCTTGCTTTGTCGACAGAACTGGCTGTCGTCTAGACGCTCATTGTCGACAAAACCCTGTAGTCTAGACATACCCTTACTGGCCTCAGTCAGTGAGCACGGCCCAGCGGGGGCACCTTGAGGGCTCCCATCAGTGACCAAACCAGTTCTACCGGTTACGGGAAGGGACGGAAAAGGAAGTGAGCCTGTGGGGGAAGGGAGTCTTGGGCTGGAACCATGAAGGGGACAGACTAAGGAGGGGCTGGAATCTAGGGGCCCAAGGACCCATCTCAAGGGGTCTGATGCATCCTGGCCCTGACGCCAGTAGCCACGTCACGTCTGTGCTGTGCTGTACCCTGGAGAAGCAATAACCCCTCTGTTCTACTGGCTGGCAGAGTCTGTTCTTGCTGCTATGGGGGTGCAGCATCGGGGGAACCCCGACATCATCACATGTGCAGGAGTGCACGTATATACTTGCAAGCTCTATGCACTGGACAACAAAGACCAGCAGATGGAATTACTTACGGATACCCAAATCTGTAATTTGGGCGGGGGGAACCAGTCCGAATTATCCAATAGGAGGCAGTGGGATGAAATGAACGTGGCAGGCATGCTAAGCAGAATGGTTTATTAACAGAGTAACCAAAGGAAAGTGACTACACAATAACCATGTGCCCCAGACCCTCCCCAAAACGTGTTGCTCAAGATAGATTTGATCTGAAAAACAGGAAACCCAAAAATATTTCTTCTGTAACAAGGTGCCTGTCAGATCCGCTGCACTTCTCCAGCACATGTAGCAGGTTTTTCTCCCGAGTAAAAAGCTTGAATCAAAAGTTTGGACCGAAGAACATGACTGAAAACTCCCCATGGTGCCCCCTTTCCTCCTTCCTCATCCGGGGGGAGGAGAGTCAGAGCTGGGCACATCACCCCTTCTTAGGGACTCTGTTGTGGCACACGAGGCAGCGCTGGAACGACAAACGAGAAATCCCTCAGCTGGGTTTCCACAGGTGGACTCTTTCACCCCGTCGGTTCCTTGCCAGCTGTTCAAGGCACTGGGTCACATGGGTATGGATTTAGTAGCGGAGCAACATGGGGAGAGAGTCGGAAACATTTCATCCCAGTAGGGACAGGCATGACTATTGGGAAAAAGCAGTTTGCGGGTGCTACGAATTCGGGGATTTTTATTGAAAGATTTTTAAGAGGGAGAAGAGAATTTCCTTTTTACCAAGCAAGGACCCTGCAGGAGCCTGGAATGCCAATGCACTGAACAAAACTGAATGTGCAGTTAACCCTGCAGCTTTGAAAGAAAGGCAGAGGTCCCCAAGCCGTGTCTGCTTAGGCAAAGGGGCTGATGTTTTCAGTTGCGTTAGCTTACTACAAGAGGGTTCGTCAATTAACACCCATACCAATGCAAGCGAGCGGCTCTGAAGTCACATAAGGTCATGGCCTGTGTGCAAGACTACACTAACACAGCCAGCTAATGTGCCTTTCCAGAGGTTTTCCTGCACATTTGTGGGTGTTGGGGACACTCCGGAAATCACCATGTCCGAGATATGATGTACAACCGGGCAATTTTCAGATCTCTGGCAGATCCACAAGCAAGGGGTGGACTTCACAGCCAAAGCAGATGGCGAGAAAAATCTCGCTCGTTTGCATTTTCGTGCAGAAAGCAGCTGATCACAGGCACTGCACCTTCACAGCTGGGTTGAGATCCCTTAAAATATGGATGTGTCGGAGGGTGTATCTCTGTGAAGAAGTCTCAGAGGGGCCGCCATTCCCTTAAAATATGGATGTGTCGGAGGGTGTATCTGTGGATAAGTCTCAGAGGGGAGACTTAAAAGTTAGTTTGTAACTTTTAAACAAGTACTCTAGAGACTACCACGTATATCAAGAGTATCGTGAGCTTTCGTGGGCAAAACCCACTTCCGCAGATGAGCGGAGTGGAGGGAAAAGGGGGACCCTGACAATTTATAACGGAAGAAGAAGGGGGAAGTACTAACGAGGCTGAGTGGGTTGGAAGTGTCCCATTCTTAGCGTTGGCTCTCAATGGGGTGCTGACTGTAAGAAATCAGGTTTTATAACAGCCCGGCCGGTTCAGGTCTTTGTCCAGGCCACCAGAGATAGTGGATGGAAGAGCCACGCTGGCATGCCACGGGCAGTCATTTCAGAATTCACCCCGTGCAAAAATGCCGGCTAGAGCTTCGGGACAGGAGCCGGCTTCCTCAAGCCACGGGAGCTGCAAACCTTCAAGGGGCGTTTTTGTAACCTGGTGTTTTCCGAAGGAACCCTCCCCACTGCAGAGACATTCCCAGGGCGGAAGGAACCGATCCCGCCCCACGCACACGCCGTACCTTAGAAGGGTGGCAATGGGCCATGCCGGGAGTCAGTCCTGGCGCTTGGAGGATCGGGATTTTTCCTAAGTGGAGGTTCACTGAAACAAACGCAGAGCTCAGTGTCGGCCACCGAAGGTGCCACCGCCCAGCGCCACGCCTCTGCCAAGCGTACTCAGTGTTGCCAGTGCCCACTTCCACGAGGGGCCTTGCAGTTCGATTCATCAGCTCGTCGAACAGCCGGTGCCATTTGCATCCACTATTCGC